CCCCCCCCCCCCCCCTTCCCCTTGAAATACCACCTCATCATCTACTTTTTCCTCAAATTTTCCAGTTTCGGTTGCCTTCAGAAAGGCTCTGATGTAAATGCTATTTAGCACCTAGTGCTAAGCACCAATCTAGGTGCATTCAAGTGTCATTAATTGATAGATCATTTTAAAAGTAGGATGTCACACTGGTGTTACATAGCATTATTCTTTTTTTTACGAAGATTTTTCTATATCAAAGTGGCAGGGCCCATAAAATTATGATACACCCAGAAAACCTCAATTAATTGCAACATGGCTACCCAGACGACGAACAAAATGTGTCCAAAATTATTCAAAATGAATTTGTATATGAATCATTTTTCATTGTTTCATCTACCAAACTACCAAAGGATCCAGTAAATCAAATACTTTACAACCACATCAAGCCATGCTTATATTGGCCTACATCTCTCTCTAGTAACTTGTTCCCTATTAATCATCTATGGTACAACCTCCACTTGTTAACGCATAGTCTCACAGATGCTACCACAGTAGAGAGCCAAAAAAAAAAAAAAAGCAGAAATATGAATCAGAGTAAAAGCAGAGTGTAGAAGCATTATTAACACCAAATTCTTTATTTCCACATCTTGACCAGTAAAATCATATAACGTTATTAACTAGCAAAGAAAAAGGACTCAATTTTTTGGAACTTCGTGGGGATTTTTACACTAACCCTACACCAAGAATAGAACTTTGCCATAACATCGTACCTTTGTCAATGCCAAGTTGATCCAGAAAAGGGCTAGATTGCCTAACTAAACATGCCAATAGTTCTGGCACATCAAAGGGTGGAACTTCCTGCATTAGGTACAGAAAATATTTAGTGAAGTGCTGGCAGCAATTTATCAGACACGGCATATTTCCACAGATTGGCTTTATGGACTGTATAGATGACTGCGTATGAATGACAAGTTTTTACTAATGCTCATCAAAAAACCTTATTTACTTCTGAACTCTACATTAAGATTTTAGTGGAACTTCCTGCATTAGGTACAGAAAATATTTAGTGAAGTGCTGGTAGCAATTTATCAGACACGGCATATTTCCACAGATTGGCTTTATGGACTGTATAGATGACTGCATATGAATGACAATTTTTTACTAATGCTCATCAAAAAAACTTATTTACTTCTGAACTCTACATTAAGATTTTATTATGCAACAGTTAACTAAAAACCTTCTCATCTCTTCAGCTAGTCAAAAAGTTACAAGATGCAGTATGCACAACTAAAAAATCAAGCAAGCATAAATTAAATTAAAAGGTGCACCAACCTTTGAATCATTTGGATCCCTGTAAATTGATTTCTGCAAAATCAAACAATAATATAAAAGTATAAGTCAAGTTATAAACTTTAAGGTCGACAAAAGTTAAATACATGACTCATAACAAAGAGGTTTATATTATATTAGCAATTACAGGAAAGCATCAGCAAGTTAGTGCATTATATCATCAAGAGGATAGACCCTTTCAATTGCCAGTTAAAGTTGTGACCAGAAAACATTATCATAGATAGATTAAGAGATATGTCCTTTGTTTTGTTGTTGTAACTGAGAAGAATTGATATTTGAGATAAGAAATCTTGATTTCAAAGTCAACCACATCATTTGATACTTGCGCATCCCAGAGAATCTGTATGCACATTCACATAACCAAATTGTTTCAACTGATTGAAAATTCTAAATTGATAATTACATGTTTATTTGGAGTTTCTTGAACAGTAACTTAAAACCAGCTGATAATAGCTCAACTTATGTAACATGAAGAGCATAAATCCTAATTCGTCTATACTCATGCGTGCATCATCTATATTTCCTGGCGGAAAATAAAACAGTATCGAGTTTTTTCTATTATAATTTTTAATCCAATGATTTGCAGCTGGCAACATCGTTTATGAAGCAAGAAGTTTTACGAGTCCAAATACAAGGTTCAAAATTCCATGTTTCTCAACTTGTCCCCTTGCAAATGAAGAAGTGAATGGCCATATCATGTTCAGACACCACTCTCCCATTTAAACTTTAACAAGAACTAAATCAGGAATAGTAACAGATAACCTAAAACTTCCAAGTAAAAAATTCAGTCTTTACCATGTCAAAACTTTATATCATCTACTCCTAAATAAAGAACGACATGCAATTGAAAGAAACAGGAAATGCATACCAGACTTGACTTGAATTTCTCCACAAATTCACTGTTCTTAATCCCCTCGAAAAACTCACTGGAGCTTTTGTGCTCTAATTCCCTAAGCCTGGACTTGAACGCTCTTATCGGCTCCCAAAATTCACCAAATTGTCCTTCCTCTCTTTCCCGCTCCTTATATCTCACCCTCCAACTCCTGAAACTCACCCTATCATTCTCCTCCTCATCCTCCTCGACCTCGGCAACAATTGCATTCTTGATGGCAGATAAATTGATCTTTATCTGCGGCCGCGGGTACAACTTGAAGTTGGGACTGGAATACGCCCTACGAAATTCCGACAATTTCGGTTGAAGCTTTCTAACGAAGTCAATTTCCGCTGGTGGAGGGGGATTAAGAGTAGCAGAGGCTGTAATTGTAGGAACGCTGAAGGGTGATTTCGAAGCGGAGTTGAGGAAATTCTCGAATTCTCTATCGGCTAGGTTTTTGAACGAGTTGGCGCGGTTCTTGAGCAGTTGGAGATCGGCGTCGGCTGATGAGCGAACCTCGCGCCAGCCTTTGGATATAAATGAGAACGCTTTCTCTGCAGCCACGATCGAGCTCGAACTTGAACTTGATCCTGCCGACGGCGTTTTCGACGACGCCGCCCGCACCTCCGGCGGCTTAAAATTTATCATTTATTGTTAATTTTCCGTATTTTTTTAGGGCTGCTGAATTTTCCGATGAAAGGGGTGGAAGGGTAAGCGACGCTGCGTGAGGATTTTAACGGCTAAGATTTTGATGCTGTTATTTATAAATTTTTCGGTGAGGGAGGGTGACACGTAGGACTGAACATCAGATTCTGGGGAGATGACGTGGTTGGAGTCACGTGACGTGATAATAAAATGGCGTTGGTGATTGGGGCGTCTTGTTTTGTGATAATTACAACTCACACCTTGTTGCCGAGTTTTCCACTAGGTTCTTTTCCTAATGGAAAATTGCACCAGTGGTCTGAACTATTTACAGAATTACAACTTCATCTCAATTCTTTATTTTTATCTATTTGGAGTAGTGTTCTAAAAGGCGTAATACGTGACGAAGCGTGGAGGCTAAGCCTAAGACTAGGAGAGCTTAGCCGATGCATATACGTAAAAAGGAGTTTTCTTAATTTAATATTATTTTAATTTTTAATCAATTAAAAATAATACTTATTAAACATTTAAAACAGATTTATAGGAATTTTTTACATTTTTTTCAAAGTTTCCAACAAAAATATAAGTTTCAAATTGAAATACAAAATAATAACTAAATAATAGGAAATTATTTATCGTAAATAAGATTCATTGGTCACTTGACTTTTGGGTTCAAATTGTTGTTTTAATTAAATTAGGGCAAACTGAAGAAATTAACATGTAATAATTTTTAACTTCAAACAAAAAAAAAAAAAAAAAACTAGCATAGGCGCGCATTAGCGATCAACAACTATCGTTGACCGCCAAATAAGACGATAACCCATTTAGACTTGGCGTTTTGGCCTCGCCTCGTCTGGCTGTCTAGACGCGTCTTTTAGAACACTAATTTGTAGGTCATCGAAAATGTATCATTTTGTTACATCGTCGGTTTCCATTATCTAATTTCAATAATGGGAACGGATAGGCAACGTGCAATTTGCTCCACTCGAACAGAATGGATAGAGTCTATAGTACATGCATGTGTGCTTGAGTTCCACAGACTTGAATAAATTGCAAAGTTTGACTTATCTAGAAGCAAAATTAACGTGCTTGTTTAAACTATCAAACCCAATTCAGTCATTGATGTTGTGCAAGTCAGGCATAATATCTATGAATTATACAACACGACGTGGTGTATACATATGTGAATTAAATGGGTTTTGACAATACAAAAAGATAAATACAAGAAATATTTCCTTGCTACATCACTTACCAACCGTTTGGGAAGAAATTATAAACGATTTAAATTATAAATAGATAAAAAATGAGCGATGCATATGCAGATAAATTCGTAAGAATATATGATTGAAAATAAAATTTAACAATTTATAGATTATTTATAATTTTTTACCAAACGGAGGCTTAATATATATAGCCCCAGTTTGGTGCACATTTTTGAAAAAAGAATGTATTTTTCTCTTGATGTAATGTAGAATATGTGATTGAAAAAGAAGGAAAAATTATTAATATGATAAAAAATATTATTTTATTGAAAAATGTATGGTTAAAAATGAGTAAAAGAATAATAATGAAAAAATAATGTAACTCAAACAGCCATAATACAGAATTTAACATGTCACGTACATCAAGTAAAACTAGCTACCTAGCTTTTACTTATTACACGTTATTTTCATCCCTTCACATCCCAAATTAAAAATTCACATTCTTTGTTTTCCAAAGCGATGTGAAATTGATTTTTTATTTTTTTTAAAAGAAAGTGGGATTCAAAAAAAAAAAAAATACTATCGGATTGAAAATGAGTACGGCTGAAAGTAAATTAAAATAATCACTTTTAAAGAAGGTATCAATTGTGTTAGAGTTGTACATAGTAGTGGCAGGTGGCCGTGACATGATTGGTCGAAGGTTCAAAACATTCGGGAATATCCATCGAATGCTACGGAATCTAAAATTGGCAGACAGCCTACAAAATATCAAATTGCGTAGAAAGTATAAACGCGTTTTTTTTGTCGGTCCTAACACGACTACGGCACTTGCACGTGACCAAAAAAGGTTTTTCGCCTTTTATTCCATTTTTCGTTTTTCCTTTCTCTTTTACTATGATAAATGTTGCCTTACAAAATAAAAAACAAGTTATATTAAATTTAAAATAAGTTTAACTTATGATTAAACATACTCGTAATCTTTATTTACCTTGCTAATTTAGCTTTTGTTTGGTGGAGATTAAAATTAGCTTTTTTCTGTAAATCTTGATAAAAATTGATGAAATATGTAATTAAAAAATTATAAGACCTATAAAATATATTATTAACTTAATATCTAAATTTTAATTTCTACTAAACATGGATTTAATATGAAACATGTATATATCTCTCGTTTTATTGATATCATAAGGACATAAATCTTACAGGAGTATATTCAATTGAAATTTTTAATGACTTTTTGGGATTTAAAAAGTTTATGGGTATTTAATATAGACTTTTAAAAAACTCTCTACATGTGTTGGTGTATTCAATTGAGTTTTTTTATAAACTTTTAAAAAGTATCTAAAATTTACGATATATTCAATTAATTTTTTTAAAAGTCTCTATAAATATTGGGTATTTAAATTTTAATGACTTTTAAAATAATTTATAAAAGTTTTCAATGTACTAATTTTAAAGAAGAAACTAATAAAATAAAATTTCAAAATTTTTCTCTCATTAAATTTATTCTTTATAAGTATTGTTATTATTTATTTATTTAATTAAGGTCTTAAGTTTTTATTCTTTTTAAATTTTTTTTTTTAATTATATGGGGAGGAGAAGGGGAAGGGCAATTATGGGATCCACCACCTCGTGTGTAATAATTTCACAATATTGCACTAAGTCCATATATATTCTATCTCAAATAGAAGTTTTCAAGAATATATAAAAGTTTTTAAATGAAAGTCTATAGAAATTTACAAAACCTTTCACTAATTTCATACAAATCTATAAAAAAATCTCATAGAATTCACAGAAATCACCACTCAAAAAGAAGAAGTCCATCAAAATTTTCAAAAGTTTCAAGTGAATGCACCCCATTGGACAACCTATGGCATGTTGATTTTACGGTGTGTAGATAGAAAGGTTATTATTGCAAAGTTTGAATAAATATAATTTTTTTTTTCTAATATTGTAATTGTGTGTTAATAAACCTTGACTCTATTAAGATATTAGTACAGTACATATTATAGAGAGTGTCTTTAAATTTAGAGTGTCAAAATTTTCACACGCTCCAACAAGCTTTCTACTTTGCTTTTTCTCAATAAATATTTATTGATTTATCTTAATATTTTATTTTACATGATTTTTTTTAAATGTGAATTAACAAATCAATTTAAATTAAGTCAAATTCCATTTTGGTAGGGGTTGAACATTTGTTTTCTCATTTAACATAAATTGGAGTTTATTGTTGTTAATTTTGCATCTGTCATTGAAATAAAATATTAGAGTGTCGTTGATTGCAAGTATGAAATTTGTATAAAAAGAAAATAAATTTTAGACAATTGAATTGTTTAAAACTTATTTGAATGTAAATTATTAATTAAAGGCGTTTGATTGACTCAATTTTCAACATAAAACATATTGTATTTGTTCATTTTTTATTGACGGATAAATGTGAGAGAGAGAGAGAAAGAGAGAGAATTGTCTGGACAATAAAAATCTCTCTCTCCTTAAAGAAAATATTTTCCTTATTTTTTTAGAAAAATATGATCACGTCACCAATTTTTGAAAAATATTTTCATAAAAAAGTCTGTCAAACATCCCAAAAGTGAGAAACTGAGTGAAAAAGATTATATTTTTCATGAAAAAAAAGTCAGTCAAATACGCCAAAAGTGAGAAACTGATTGAAAAAAATGATATTTTTTAGGAAAAATAATGTCATTCACGCGCACCTTCAACGGTGTTAAATTTTTTGCCTAATGAATTAATTATCATGTTAGTTCGTGGAACCTACAAGAAGTTTTGATATCTTGTGAATCTATTGTATCCAATCTATTTTGGGCGCGTAAATGATTTTTGTCTTTTCCGCGAAATAAAATAATGATAAAAACCTCTGCTTCCAAGAGCCATCACAATTTAGGTTGACCCATATTTCCGCGCATAATGATAAAGAGAAGGAAATTTTGTGTCTTCAACTTATAAGTAGTGCAGTGTAACAATTAGGTCCTCGATCTTTTTTTAGTGAGATGAACTAACGTTTCGAGTTGTACATTACTTCCCAATAGACAATTTATTCACATTAAAAAACAACATGTTCGAGTGTAAAATAACTAAACAAACAAATTTAAATAGAAAAGAAAGGAAAAATAGCAACCTACTAGCAGCGGTTGCACTTTTCCCATCGATGAAAACAGTTATTTGTAAAAATTAATAAACGAGGAGTTGAAAAATCGATAAAAATTATGGATTTCATAAAATATATGATTAAATTGATTATTGACTTTGACCTCTACTTTTTTACAATTTTTAAACTTTCTTGATCCTAGCAACATGTACTCGGATCTTTGAGTTTTGTTACAGTGACATGCTCATTGACATGGTTAAAAGATAGGGGGACTAGTAGCGCTACATCATTGGTAAAATAATAATAATAATAATAAAATAATGCAGGTGCTGTCAACGTAATACCAGTCAAAGTTCCTATTTTTAAACCCGTTGGAGTTAGCATTATTGCGGATCTTTTGTTTTTTGTTCTCTTGTCGCTTCCAACTCAATGACCAAACAAAAAAGCCCAGTACAATTAATCTCAAATCCCATTATTGTTTGGGATAATTTATGGGAAAAATTCATATCTAAGGTATTTTCTTTACCTCAATTTAAAAGTAAGGTAAAATAGTTTGACAATTCAAAAATCAGGTATGGATTTAATTAATTAAAAATATTTATTAAATAAAGATAATAAAGCCACAGTTTATGATTAATGGTCACATATTCATAATTATAAGTCACAGATTTATTTACTGGTCACATATCGTCAAATTCTTTGATCCTAGATTATTTCGAGGTCACATATCAAAAATTTGTACGTCACATATTATTTCGAGGTCACAGATTTTTAAATTAGTTGGTCACAAATTATTTTTCAGTCACGTATTATTAAATTTTTAGGTCACAGACTACCGCCGCTTGGTCACAGGTCACAGATCGACCAAATGCTTGGTCACAGATTACCAAACATTTGGTCACAGACTACCGTCGCTTGGTCACAGGTCGTAGCAGTCACAAACCACCACACCCACACCCACAGCCACAAACCACACGCAACAACAGATCCGCCACCACTATCAATAGATTCGCCACCAACGACCGCAAACATAAACAGTCAACCACCAATTCGCTACCCCACAAATAAGCCACCAGCAAACAACAGCCAATTCGCCACACCCACGGCGTCGAAGCAGCATACCCAATACTCCGTCGCAAAATCACACACACAAAACACCACACCCACAACAACGTCACGATGCTGCTGTGGGGTCGCAGCAGCGTCTCAATTCGCGATTTCACGAATAGCAGCAGCAGACCCTGCAGCGTCTCACGCTGATGCTGCAATTCGCGATTTCGTAGCAGCAGCAGCAGCAGAGGGGAGGATGGGGATGGGGATGGGGATGGGGATGGGGAGGGAGAGGGAAGGAGAGGTGGCAGAGATCGACGGAAAGGGGAGGCGAGGCGAGGCGAGGGGAGGTAGAGATCGCTACAAACCCACCGTCGAACCACACACCCACCCACTGCTTCACTGTAATTTCCTCGTCCTCCTACCAACGCGAGAAAATGTTTAAGAAAACTGGCAGTCGCCACCTCCACCAGCAACATCCTGACCGCAACGCTGCTGCCAGCGTCGCGACGCCGACTCCGGCAACAGCGTCGCGACATTGCTGTGATTCACAGCAGTGTTGCGACGCCGGCAGCAGCGTCAACGCTGCTGTGGAGGGGAAGAAGGAGGGTAGAGCCGAGAGGGAGGGGGAAAAGAGATGAGGGTTTGGGAAGGAGAAGATAGAGAGAAGGGAGAGGGTAGAGAGAGAGAGAGGATATGGAAAAATGAATAGAGAATTGGACGAATTAATTGTAGTATTAATATTAAAATATATAATTATTACCTGATTTATGATTAATTAAAGTTTGAACCTGATTTATGAACAGTAATCTTGAAACACCGGGTCCTGTGTATTTTTCCCATAATTTATTTCAAGTTCGTTCACATGCACGATAATAAATTTTAATCAAATTCAAATACAGTGGACGAGGTAGTCTCTACAAAAAAGAGTAGCCTATTTAAAATAATAGAAAAAGAATTATTTTGAAACAATACTAAGATTATTAACTTAGTAAGTCTCACACATTGCCAATTTAGCTTCTGTGTAGGAAACAAAACGACTTGACACCTTTGGAAGCTATTGAATTTCTCCGAACATGTCGAGTGGTCAATTGTTGTTTCATTTGTGAACTAGTGAAAGTATGCACGGCCCAGTTTGTTCGATGGCGCTTTCACCATGCTTTTGGGATTCAATTACAATCACAAAATACACGCATTATAAAAACTCACATGTGTCACCTCGCCTCGACTGCGAGCGTAAAGTGGGATGGTGGCTTGTGAAGAAATCTGAGTCATCCAACAAAAGAGCCTGTTTAGAGTACATGCACAATTTTCATGAGGGAAAAGCCTAAACCATATCAAGGGTGCTAGGCATTCATGGTAACCAAGTCGTAAAGTTGGATTAGAACCAAAAAAAAGGGTTCTTGTTAAGGTATCACCACCCTATGAATATTTTCACACAAGTTCTGTATCTTCCATTAGTATACTAATTGTCACCGTGTTACCCTTTGAGACCTTTCAAATTTAGAAGTGTGATGTATTCTTCGAGCTTGATTAGTTAATTTGAATTTGATCTTGTGAACCATCACTTTTCTATTTTTGTTAAACAATCAATTACGACTAATTTTCTAAAAAATTGATGTGTAACAATACAAATAGTTGGATTTGCACAAGTCATCACTAATTGTTAGGAATTTACAGGATGATATAGACTCCCAACCAATGCTAACAGAGTTCTAATAGGCTCAAAATCAAATTCTTCTCACTTACAGAATATATAGCATAATGATCGAACATTTGCATAGCATATATATTAATCAACAGACAACAGAAACCATAAAGAACTGAAGACAGAACACCATAGAAACAAGACAAATAAACAAGACAGAATGCTACCTCCCTTTCTGGTTGAGATACCCAGTTCTTCCTTTGATTTTCGGCGGAATATGTTAGGCTCAGGAACAGCCTTCCACGCCATGCAATTCACCGTCCAGAGAGAGATAAGAACCAGCCAAAGTCTCCAACAACTTGACTAAGGTCATCGATCCAAAGGGATCTACCAAAGAAGCCAAGAAACCCCTAAAATTTGACCTAAACCTTAGAGAAAAAACCAATAACTCAACCCTATTTCAGGTCTGAGCAACACACAGGTATTCCCCTCAACGACAGGCTACCAAGGTCGATTTTAGGTTACTGCAAAGGAGGAAGAAGAATGGTTGTCCAGAGAGAAAACCGGGAGCTTCGAAGAGAAGGAAGAGAAGAGATACAATAGCCAAGACCCAAGTAAAAATATCAAGCCAAGATTTAATCCCAACTGTGGATTAAATCTAAGGGTCGAAAAATGGTTCCAACAAGCGCACAATCCAAGTCATACTAATGTCACCAATAAGTGAGTGCCACTTAAGCAACAATAGTAATGAGTAAGTATAAATAGAAATGCACCGGCCCATTGAGTGTAAAGAGAATCACCTAAGCCCACACTAATATCATTGATATGATAAATTCAATGAGAGATGCAATTAAGTGAGTCATTTAATTGTACATTTTATTTAATGCCACATTAGTGTCATCTAAATTGATGTTTTAACATTGATGATATTAAATAGCATTATTCTTAATAAATATGCAAAAATAATACTAGTATAATTTAATAATAAGGGCTTGTTTGGTACGGCTCAAAATTCAATTAAAATTGAAAATATAGTCGTTATTGGGTCCCACTCATCTATTAAAAGTCAACAATAACGGTTAGTTTTTCAATTTTAATCCGATTTTAATCTCTACCAAACACCCTCTAAAAGAAAAAAGTGAGACATTTTACTCTATTTTTTACCAAAAAAAGAAGAGAAGAGAAGAGAAGAGAAGAGAAAAAGACATGAATGGAATATGTGCGCGCGCATGAAATTCTTGATTAGTGTTTTGTGCAGGTTATCGCTAACAATTAAAAAATGGATCAGATGATTGTGTAAAGAACAAACCTCTTGAGACAAGTCTAAAAAATGGGTGCTTTATTGATGAATGTTACAATTAAAAATAAATAGAATGCCTCCAAGGGGCACAAGTACACACTACTAAAAAGAAGTGTTTTAAAGTGAAACAAAGAAATTAAAATTACATATTCTCTGTTGAGAGTGTTTGATTCGGGGTCTTTTCTTCTATATCTTCTTTTTCTTTTTATATTCGCTTGATAGTTTCTTTGTGAAAACCCGCTTGAAAATCGCTTGATACTCTATAACTACCAACTTTCTTCATGATGACTGACTTGTCATGGAACTACCGTCTTTAACTGTTGCCATTACTCTTGTCGTTTAACTGCCTACAATCGGGATTCTTGGATCGTGGGGTGTGATAAGGTTGCTCAATAACCGCTTCAATAACTGCTGTATTGGATAACCATAACACCTTAGATTTGTTCAATTCCTGGGCGACTCGAGGGTTTGGGCGAGAACGGGATCATCGCTCTGGGCGACCGTAAGACACTCCATTCGCTCAGATTCTGGGTGTCTTGCAATCTCGGGCGATGTTATTACTTTGTTCGTGGACCTCCAATGCATTCACTAATTGTCCTATTTGGGCATTCGTCCTGAATTTCTTAATTGGGCTTCATTCCTTGAACTATCCAATTTGGACTACAGTTTTTGTATGTTAACAATTAGAATCTCAAGTTGTTGCGACGGAATAATGTAATTGGTCTGCTTCAATTCTTGCGAGGTAGTGGACTTTGAGACTTCTCTCTCTAAGGTTTTGAAATAGAGAAATTAGGTATGTTACTGTACATTGTTTGATTTATGTTTCATATCTGACCATTGTTAATTTTGACTAAAAACGTGACATTTTTAGCTTTGAGCAAGAATTCATCTGATCATTACACGTGGCTGTCTTCTGGCTATTGGATTAAGGACATTTGGGCTGCTTTATTTAAAAGGGCTTTAACCCTCTTATGTGTGCACAAATTGTTTGGGCTGCTTTGACTTTCTCTATTGTTTTCTCTCTGAGAATTCTTACGGATTTTCTCTGTAAAATCTTCTATAGATTTTTGACGGTCTATTTAGCCCTTGTTTGGTGACTATTATTTTCGAAAAAAATAATATTTTAAATAGTAAACTTTAGGAAAATGTATAGCCAAAAAGTAGAAAAAAAATTAAATTTATGTGTAAAATATTTTATTGTGTGAATGTGTGATTGAAAATAAGTAAATAGAAAAAAGAGTTTGAAAATAAAGTTGTCAAACAGGGGCGGTGAAGGGTAGAGGAGAGCCTTTGTATTTATTGTTGTGAACGGTGATTTGTAAATTTTGTGAGGTTATAAAGAAATCTAAAAAATTCTTCAAATCTTTGCATTATTCGATTCTTGATTCTATTCACACTAGAGTCTAATCTACCTTGTAAATACTCAATGGATGAATAGTATTTAGAAGAACATGAATATTCGGACCATTTGTGGGTAAAAATTCGTGTGTTGATTCTTTTAATTTTCTGCAAGTTTTGTTTAAGCATTTTGGGGTTAAAAACATTGATTTGGGACTAACATGCATATTTTTAAAAACTAAAATGTGAAGTGTTTTTTTTTTCTAAATAAAATATCGTGTAAACACGTGATGATAAAAAATAACCATTAAAACTCTCATAGTTCAGGCACTATTATTTTCTACAGACTAGTGGGGTCAGCGTGTGTTGCACGTTAATTGGTTAATGTTAAAAATTAGTATAAGCAGAAATGATATGATGATGTGGATAGAATTTTGAGCGATAAATAACAGTTTGATGTGTAACTTTCAACATTTACTCCAATTTATGATTCCTTGATAATAAAATGAGTGATTTTTAAATATATCTTGAACAATTCAATTTAAAATTAATCTTATTTTGACTTCTTTCCACTTTCAAGTTTCATGAAGTCACACATGACCACTATAGGATTCCCTTTTGAATGGGACAAATGGATATGGAATGAGAACCATATTTTGTTATCTTTATTTTTTATTACTTTTCTATCACACAAATTATTGACAAAATAAAAATTAGTAAAAAATTGAAGTGGAATCTGCGGAGAAAGAGATCCTCCAGTACACAGCAACGACAACAGCAAGGAGTGAAGCCTATAATATCAGGCCAGTTGCTCCAACCTGGCATAAGATTTAATTAAGATTAGTTCAAGAAAGTTTATCATAATAAAAAAACATTGAGATCAAAACCACACGATATGCATGCACAGGGAGAATCTTTAGANATTTTTGGGTTCTTGGTCTAGACCCGAGATCTGATCCAAACTCATCGGTTCTCGATTCGGGTACCCGTTTGGGTATTTAATTTATGAAGAACCGCTCGATTCGGTTCGGGTTCAGTTCGGTCCGATTCGGTTCGAGACTTTTGGACACCCCTAATGACCACTATAGGATTCCCTTTTGAATGGGACAAATGGATATGGAATGAGAACCGTATTTTGTTATCTTTATTTTTTATTACTTTTCTATCACAGAAATATTGACAAAATAAAAATTAGTAAAAAATTGAAGTGGAATCTGCTGAGAAAGAGATCCTCCAGTACACAGCAACGACAATAGCAAGGAGTGAAGCCTATAATATTAGGCCAGCTGCTCCAGCCTGGCATAAGATTTAATTAAGATTAGGTCAAGAAAGTTTATCATAATCAAAAAACATTGAGATCAAAACCACACGATATGCATGCACAGGGAGAATCTTTAGAACGCCAAATCTCTTGATCATCTTTGCAGATACAAATGTTGCTGCAACTCCCATAAAAGCAGATAATCCACTAAATCCTCCAATAATAGAAGGTTTTAAACCTGCAACAATATCAATTGAATCCATGTAGAAAAATTCAAATCAGCATCAGAAAGGAAAATATCTCTCCATTTAGTTGAAACCTTTACTGGAAGGATAGAAAAAATGTAAAAGAGGAAAATAATAGAAATTGCAAAAAGTAAAAAAAAAAAAATGTCAGATCAGAGCACGCCAACCGTATTCCATTATACGACAATATACTATCTTGCATAGGCGAAGCACTGACTAAATTATTCCTGTGATTCTAGGGATCAATTGTAAGACATGCAACTCTTTTCCACCGCACATATTTAGTTAATTTCTTTTTGAAGCTGATAACATATAGTTCTTCAAAGTACAGAGGAAGCGAAAAGGAAAAACATTGACTCAATTATACCAGTTTTGCAATCTATATGGAATCAAGATTCAACATCACTTCTTCGTTCCAATAGACAGAGATGGAACTACTTGATTCTTTCATGTCTCCTTTTTTGCACGGAGACACGACGTATCTCCGTGCCCCAACACCTAAAATCTAAAATCCGGAATCATAAGAACCTAGAACCTGAAGAAATCCCAAACTAATTAGTCGGGTAAGTGGAGAGAAGGAGAATGTGTCCAGTGATGTGTGTCTCTGTGCACCACGGAGACACGGATCGTGTCTTCGTTTTTGCAAGGAGACACGGGCACCACGGAGACAAGAATCTGTGTCTCCATGCAAAACAGAGACATGATCTGTGTATCTGTTTTTGCATGGAGACACAATGTATCTCTGTGCCGTAACACCTAAAATCTAAAATTAAGAACCATAAGACCCAGAACCCGAAGAAATCCCAAACTAATTAGTCGATAAGTTGGGAGAAGGAGAACGTGTCTAGTGAGGCGTGTCTCTGTGCACCAGGGAGACACATATCGTGTCTCCATTTTTGCATGGAGACTCAACATATCTCCGTGCCTCAACCCTTAAAATCTAAAATCTGGAACCATAAGAACCCTGAACCCGAAGAAATCCCAAACTAATTATCCCTTTGCTCCATGTGGTGTCTTTCTGCTGGGTAAGATTGTCATCCCAATTAGCACCATTTCTATCTCCAGTCGATTTTTTTGCTTCATTGGCCTCTTCCTTGTTGGAATCAATTAAGGCTTCTTCACTTCCACCTACACCAAGAGATAAAGTAAATACATCATCCACACAATTTGCTCCTCATTTACAACTAAATCTCATATCAATGGATTTCAAGATAATCAACTGCAATAGTGATTTCAAGGCTAAATAGATTCACATCACATCAATCTGCACTAATTTGCTCCTCACTTACAACTAAACATGGTTACAAATTTGTTACTACACATGGACTATTCACAGGTCTATGATCTATTGCTCAAACCTCTGCCCAGAAGAACAACAGATACTCATAATTGTCTTCAACATGGTACTTGATGAGCTGTGCTTTTAACCAATGTGAAGAAGCAAGCACAATATAAATATGTTTGACACGGCAAAAGTTGAAGGAATTCCAAGTATGGGTCAAGAAATTCAAGATTCAATACATAGCACAAGTACATTGGCAGCGCCAAGTATAATGGCCCAACCTGATGTTCTAAAACCGTTGTTAATGATCCTAAAGTCTGTAAATCAATTCAGAATCTAAGATTCATGCAAAAAAAATATATTCTTTTCCCTCATCACACTCATTCTTACATAAAAAATAACATTGACAACTAAGACAAAGACAAAACAATGACATATTATCTAGGAACAGATGATCATGTAACAAGTTGAGATTATTTAATAAAAACCTCAACTCTTAACAAGCATTTTTTCTCCACTATCCTTCCCCAAACATTGTCCTCACAATTTAGTTGTTATAACTTATAAAATAGGCACACCAATAACTTCAACGGGCACAACTAAAAAAACCAATGATTGTAAAAGGGGGGAAGAGGTTTCAATGGACGTCGAAGTGTGAAGAGGCATTTCAGGCACTAAAAAGTTACCTCAGACGAGTCCCATCCTATCTAAACCGAAGGTGGGTGAGCCGTTTCTGCTTTATTTAGCTGTGTTCGATGACCCCATCAGTTCGGTTCTCATAAAGGAAGAAGAAACACATCAATTGCCCATTTATTATATAAGTAAAGCTTTGTGGTAAGCAGAAATACATTACTCAAACATGGAAAAACTCACTCTCTCCTTAATCATCACTTCTCAAAAATTGAGGCCTTTCAGGCCCACAACATCTATGTAATGACAAATTCCCCCCTAAAGCAAGTCTTCCAGAAGCCAGATGCCTCGGGGAGGTTACTTAAGTGAGCTATAGAACTCAGTGAATTCGACATAGTGTATAAACATAGGTCTGCAATTAAAGAACAGGCCCTAGATGACTTTGTTGCCAAATTTACTAGGGCCCCTGAAATTGAGATGAGTATGGAACTAGCGGAGCCTTCCACCTGGAACCTCTTCGTAGATAAATCATTTGGAGAGTCTGGTTCGGGAACGGGAATAGTCTTGGAGAGTCCGGAGACACACAAGCTTAACTGTGCAGTAAGACTCAGATTCAAAACATCTAACAATGCAGTTGAGTATGAGACGCTCCTAGCCGGTCTTCGTCTAGCTCAAGAATTACAAGTGAAGAGGTTAACTGTCAACAGTGATTCACAGTTAGTGGTGAACCAGGTCAACAGCAATTTTGTGGCTAGAGAGAGAAGCACATGGCAGCATACCTGAAACTAGTCCTGAAATTCCTCCCCCACTTCGAAAAGTTTGAACTAATGCAAGTACCTCGTCTGGAGAACTCCCACGCTGATGCTTTGTCAAAATTGGCCAGTAGTAGGGATTGCGAACTTCTCGAGTGATTGCCACGAACTCCTTTATGGATCTCTCTTATAATGTAATTCGTCTCCTCACCTCCTATGCACTTGAGAAGAGGTGATGAGAAGCCCCGCTTGTATAGCACATCATCCTGCAGGATGAAGTCTGCAGCCCTCCTCCGGGGTTGACGAGCTTCAGCCTCATTATTTGGTATATCCTATTTTTGAAGAAAAGTAATGATCGGTTGCATCCACAGAGGGGTGCCTTCTGTCCAAATCACTTCTTATTTCCTTGCGAAGGAAGGTTCGGCCAGGTGTTCTATACCCAGCAATGACCTGAATGTGACTATTGAAGAAAAGGTATCTCCTTGAACCATCATAGACTTTATCTCGTTTACCTCTAGTGTTATGTTACCCAAACAGTGCGGCATCTGACCATGGAGGCTATTATAAGGTAGGTCTATCATGCTAATCCTCATTTGGTATAGTTGGTCAGGAATTATTCCTTCAAAATGATTGCCTCCAAGTAGAATAAAAAGGTCTATCATGCTTAGTATGTTCATCTCACAAAATTGGTGAGGGATTGTGCCTTCAAAATGGTTACCTCTGAGAAGAATAACGCTCAGGCGTGATAGATTGCCAATCCATTGAGGGATACTTCCTATGAATTCATTCTCTCTAAGATCCAATGTCACCAAAAAAGAATTGTTAAACAATCCACGTGTAAGCGAACCTTCCAATTGGCTAATGTTAAGATAGACAAAACTTATGCTTGATGTATTGAAGCAAGAGGGGACCGAGCCAAATAAATTGTTCTGTGATAAGTCTAAGAGGCCAAAAGAATCAAGGTTGATACTAAAGATTTCAGGTCACCATCACTATATGGTATACAACCTGTTGAGAATTTATTTTTACATGCGTAATCAAATTTAAAAATAATTTTAGTTCCTTCAAGGATCGTCTTTTTATATAGATAGAAGCCGTGATTAGAATTTTACATTTAGCAAATCCTTCAAACTCCTTTGAGAATTTTGATAATAAACAATCACGATCTTTGTACGCCTTTGTGAGTCATGATGTTTTCTTCACACCACATTTGTTCAATTGTTCAGCCTCTAGTGATAAGCCGCACAAGAGAACAAAAATAAGAGATTATGGCTTTCTCTTGCTTGTACTTATTCATAGATGTTTAAGTGGGTTTGACCCACCATTAAACATAAGTTAGTTAAATATTTGATTAATCTAATTATTTAAACTTGGTTTATGAATTAATTAACTGGAGTCCATTAATAAACAATTCAAATAATTAATTTTACAAATGTCCAATACTTATCAATGATTTAATTTATAATATCATTCTTCTAGTTATCCTTTTTACGTGAAACTCATTAGGTTTCCGATTACGATATCGAACGACATGAATTATTACTTTGATATAATTAAAATAAGATAAATTAAATTTCCCTTTAATTTATCATTAATTATTTCACATTCATCACTCCGCAATAGGTCAGACCCATTTGGCCTGATTGTTGAGTTTTGTTATTTTTTAGTTTTCTTGATCGCCTTTGATTCATTTTCTAAGCACAAGTACCGAATATTTTCCACCCTATAAATTGACCGTGTTTAGGTCATAAAAAGAGTTTTCATCATATAAAATTAGAGATGAAAGAGAAAGAAAAATCAAAGTCAAGAAAGTAGGATTTATAGTTCTTAACTTGGGAGAAGAAGATTCTTGGTGCAAGAATGTTAACTTTTTTCTCATTTATATCCTTCACATCCAATGCGATACTTTAATTTTTTCTTGGTACAAGATTATCAAATTAATAATTACCATTTTTCCCTTCAAAATCGATTTGTCAATGTCAGATTTAGTAGGTGCTTTTTCCATGTTGGTACGTGAGCCATCCTTATCAATGACGATTTTACTAGATTTTCATTTTCTTTCAAGAAAATTGAATTACCTCTTCACAATACCCAAATTCAATGGTTCTAGTTCTTTACTTTCACTCAAGAATTTGCAAACAGAAATGCAAATCCGTAGGAGGTGAATAGCCACTCATTTTTGTTCCAAAGTCTGTGAAATTTCCTCTTTTCCACATGAATTGGTAAATACTGCAATCAATGAAAAGTTTACATAACTAATCGCAAATAAGATAATTTGGGGATAATTGAGCATCATCATACATATTTTCATTTTTTAAATAAAAACATTACAGCAATAACCGAAGACATTTAGCATATTAAGTGATTAAAACATAAAACACTATTAAGTTCTCAATTAAGACTAACAAAATGCATTCACGTTAGTAATGCATTTAACTTTTCGACAAAGGCAGATTTCTAAAAGGTCACCATTATATATAAATGGACATAATGGTTAGGGTAATGGCAAATGTTGCGAATTTCCACGTGCTATATGGAAAAAAAAGTAATGCTATTTATACTGAAAACTACAGTAGACTTTCCACGTGACATGCGTGTATCGCTTTGTTATTTAACGTATTAAATAACAAAGAAAGCACTCTGTCAATGGGCGGTCCAGCCTCCCGGCTCTACAGACCCCATTTTCCTTTCTTGGGCTTTTGATTTCTTCTAATCCGCTAGCATTTGTGATTGGGTGGAGGGAGGGGGCCTCGGGCTGCCTAAGAACATTAAATTTTTTCGAGGGGATTTTTTTTAAGGGAAAGTTCCATGGGTAAGAGATTAAGTTTCACCCATTTCAAAGCTAATGGATAATGTTTAGAACTTCAAAAATCAGATAATAATTATCATCTGATTTTTAAAATAATTAATTAAAAATATATTTGATCAATTAAATATATATTTTATTAATTAAATATATTAAGGTTCCAATTATATACTACGTGGCATATATGTGTGGCTTTGTTAGAATTTTACATTTAGCAAATTCTTCACACTCTTTTGAAAATTTTGATAATAAACAATCACGATCTTTGCACACCTTTGTGAGTTACGATCTTTTCACACTACATTTGTTTTATTGTCCAGCCTCCAATGACAAGCTGCGCGTGAGAACAAAAATGCGAATTATGGTTCTCTTTCTTATACTTATTGATAGATGTTTAAGTGGGTTTGACCCGCCACTAAACATAAGCTAGTCAAATATTTAATTAATCTAATTAATTAAATTTAGTCTAAATTCCCTTTTAATTTATCATTGATTTACCTAAATTAATTAATTCACTTTCATCACTCCACAATATGTAAGGGCATTACATGAGACATAAAATATAACGTGGAGTAACAAAATCAAATTTGTTCGTTTACCATGAAATTATAATCTATTCGTCAATATGATTCGATCAATTGTGAGATATTAAATTTTGTGAATCTCGATTATCGATCTTATCTTTTATTCTACTTCTAAGCCAATTATTTCGATATCAACTTAACCGAATGGAACAGAAATATAATCTCATACTATCTAAGAGTATAGAATTTTCTATTGATTATTCACAACCTTCATATGATTATTAACATACCAAACGATGTCATATCTGCGACTCTTGGTAAAGTAACAT